AAGTCTCATGAGCAGGGCCCTCAGAACATACCTCACATTGGGGACCCTGGGGTGGTATTGTGTGGCTGCCCTCCATCTTGGGGTGCAGAGGCATTTGGGAGGCTGAGGGTGTGTCTTCTCTTATCTCCTCCTTTCCTCAGATACTGGAAGGTAAAAAAGGGAATGTGGAAATGGTGATCTCACTCTCCTTGATCAACCATGTAAAAATCATCAAAAATAAATAAAATTACTAATAATTTTTAAAGCACATGTCAGATTACAGAGAATAAAATAAAAACATGTGCTCATAGTTTTTATTGATTTGTAGCATTTTGCTGTATTTAATTTTTAGCATACATTTTTTTTTAAGGAAACTGTGAAATAAAAGTGTTTGGTATAACTTTAAAATTTTTCCCCTTGCCAGAGGAACTACTATTGTAAGCTTGGTAATTCTCTTAAATGTTTGTAAATTTGGATATATATATTTACACATCCTTGGTTGATATATGGTAATATTTCTGCCTTTAAATTTGAATTGTTGGGCCAGGCGTGATAGCCTAGTGGCTAAATCCTTGCCTTGCAACCGCCAGGATCCCTTATGGGTGCCAGTTGGTGTCGCGGCTGCTGCACTTCCCTTTTGGCTCCCTGCTTGTGACCTGGGAAAGAAGTAGTGAATGGCCTGAAGCCTTGGGGACTCTGCACCCACACGGGAGACCTGGAAAAATCTCTTGGCTCCTGGTTTTGCTCTGGCTCAGCTCTAGCTGTTTCGGCTACTTAGGGAGTAAACCAGCATACAGAAGATCTTTCTCTGTATCTCCTTTTCTGTGTAAATCTGTCCAATAAAAATAAAAAAATCTTAAAAAGAAAAACTTGAGTTTTATTTTTTTAGTTTATGATGGTCACTCAAAGTATTCCTCTCCAGCCTGCTGTTATCTTTCAGGGTTTTTTTTTTCCTCTTTTTGTCCTTTTTCTGTGCTGATATGGGGTTGTATCATTCGTTAAAGGATTTGTAGTATCTCATTGTATAGTGTGGATGGTTAGACAGTTGAACAGTTTGAGTGTATTGTTCCTACAAGACTGCTCACATTTTTGTGACAATTGCAAAATCGGTGGTTTTGTTAAACTAGTCTCAGACTTGATAATTTTCTAGAAGGACTTGATGAAAGCTGCTAAACTTGCAGTTGTGACTTATTGCAGGTAATGGATGTAGACTGAAATGCAACAAGGCAAGCAGTGCTTAGGATTGTGCACAGGAGCTTCCAAATGTGGAGTCTCCAGATTTTTCAGCCTTTAGTAGTGACAATATGCACAAATATAGCCACACAAAAAAAGCCTACCTCTGCCTCAGTGTTTAGCATTTCACTGGAGCTCCATTGGATATCGTCACTGATGGCCTTCATAGGTGGTCTCAAGGTGTAGTGCCTCTATGGATTAGTGCAAATCACCTGACCTATCCCTACCCTAAACTGTGCAATTCATCTTTCTGACATGACTGGTCCCTACTCTAAGGCTGTTTGACATGACTGTCCCTCATTTTATCTTGGGTGGGGAAGCTTTTTTCTATGATGGGTCTTTTGCATATTTCATAACATCATTTCACAGGCCATATGAAATTGTTGACTTGAAAATTATCTTGCAATAGATTGAAAGCATTCCGAGTCCCACCGGCAGTTACTTTGGCAGAATGTATCTTCCTATTGCCTGAGGGTGACTATCCCCCACTGATACCATAAACCTTGGCAGTCTACACTGATAACCCATTTTCCCTGGTTAAACAAAGGTTGCCCTTTCAGACAGGGCATACCAGATCTTAGAAGTCACCTTTCAAAAGACAGCACAAAGGCAGGACATGGGAGCAGTGGACAAGGTGAAATTCTTACTGCATGTATGAATATGCCACTTTTTCTTTTTTTAAGATTTTTTTTTAAAAGATTTATTTTTATTATTTTTTATTGGAAAGGCGGATATACAGAGAGGAGAGACAGAGGAAGATCTTCCGTCCGATGATTCACTCCCCAAGTGAGCGCAACGGGCTGATACTATGCCGATCCGAAGCCAGGAGCCTCTTCTGGGTCTCCCACACGGGTGCAGGGTCCCAAAGCTTTGGGCTGTCCTTGACTGCTTTCCCAGGCCACAGGCAGGGAGCTGGAAGGGAAGCGGGGCTGCCGGGATTAGAACCGGCGCCCATATAGGATCCCGGGCGTGCAAGGCGAGGACCTTTAACCACTTGCGCCACCACGCTGGGCCCTTAAGATTTATTTTTATTATTTTTTATTGGAAAGGCAGATATACAAAGAGGAGGAGAGACAGAGAGGAAGATCTTCCGTCCGATGATTCACTCCCCAAGTGAGCGCAATGGCCAATGCTATGCGGATCTGAAGCCATGAGCTTCTTTTCGGTCTCCCATGTGGGTGCAAGGTCCCAAAGCTTTGGGCCGTCCTGGACTGCCTTCCCGGGCTACAGGCAGGGAGCTGGATGGGAAGCGGGGCTGCTGGGTTAGAACTGGCGCCCATATGGGATCCTGGGCGTGCAAGGCGAGGACCTTAACCACTTGCGCCACTGTGCTGGGCCCCACTTTTTCTTTTGTACATTCTCTTGATTGATAGTCGAGTTGTATATAAAATGGAAAAGAGAATCTAATAATTGATGAACACTTACATAATACCGCATGCCACAAATGATTGATTTCACAAATATTATTTGGTTACTCAAGGCATCCTAAATGAATAAATGTATTATTGCACAAATGAGGAAAATACGATACAGAAAGGGGAAGTGTGAAGATCATGATCATGTGGCTAGGAAGTTACACAATGGGCATTGAAATTAGGCAAGCAGAATCATTCCCCTTAGCCACTCTGCTATGCCATCTTGAAACAGTGAAGCCAAAGGTATTTTATATACATTCTGTACAAATGTGGCATTTATTCTAATATCTGTATCCAACAGTAGGTATTGCTGCACTACTGATGTGTACATCTTCAACTTGACTACATGGTGCCAAAGTATTACTTGTGATGGCATTATTAAACAGTTACTAATGTATCCACAATCTCTTTTATAACCTCTTGCTGGTCATTTTACTGCCTTTGGTTGTTCAAATGTTTACAATTTTAAAATAATCAGTTTTTCACTTTTTTATGCTTTTTGTGTCTGAATGAAGAAAATCTGTGAGCTCAAATGCATTTTACTGTTTTCTGCAAGTTTGGCTTATTACTTGTTTTTTCTTTTACTGAATGTGCTATAATAATTTTCCCTGACGCATAATGTATTATTCCAAGCCATTTTTTTTCAGTGATCCCTTCCTCGTTGGTTTTTAATGCCACTTTTGTCATAGTCACTTCTGTGCATACATCGGACTTTCTGTTAGTTTCTTAGATTTAGTAGCTGAAAACAACCCAAACTTATTGTCTTAGATTCCTGGAGGTTAGAAGTTTAAAATGGGTTGGCAAGACTGTTCTCTCTCTGAGCTCTAGTAGGGAATCCACCCCTTGCTTGTTACAGCTTCTCTAGGCCACGTATGTGTTCTTTGTCATGTGTCTTCCTCCTAGGAATGAAATCACTCCAACCTCTGCTTTTCTTTTTCATTTTCTTCTCTTTCTTGCCTGTCTTTTATGAACCTTGGACTTAACATTGCACCTACCAGATAATCTTTCCATATCAAGATCTAACATATAATTACATCTATAAAGTCCTTCTTGCCCTGTAGTATAACATACATTGAAATTATATCCTGCCAGAAAGTTTTAGCAAGTGCCATCTACCAAGTCTCCCTGGCTATTGCTGGCTTTGCAATACTTTTTAGTGTATTTTATTAACTATTTTTTGGATCATGTTGAAAAAAATTCCTAGTTTGTTTCTAATCTGTATGAAGGTACTATTAGTTATGAATAGAGGTGTAGTGTAATCTTTCACCTAAGGCTTAGTATACACACCCCTCCCCCGCCACCCGATTTGGGTGTTTTCTCCCCTTGGTAAATAGATTTTATTTCCAGGTCATGGGTTAACTGAGGTATAACCCTTGTGAAATTGTTATGAGAGAGCTGTCTTCTACACGAGTTAGGACCTACTTATTAACACCCAAACATTTAAGTGCTTGAAATGGGTAAGTTTATTGGAACTTCTGTTATATTAAATTATGTGCTTATTTTAGTTTTTAATTCTAAATTTTGGATCCCAGAGATTTTCTACTTTTATTTTAAGTGAAATCAATTCCTGGGTGTGCCACCTCTAGCAGCTGCCTGCTAATGGCCTGAGAAAGTTGCAGAAGAAGACTTAGGCCCCTGTACCCATGTATGACAACTGGATGGCAATTTAGGCTCCTGGCTTTGGCCTCAACCAGTCCCAGTCATCGCAGCCAATTGTGGCATGAACCATCATTGGAAGGTCTTGATTGGTCTTCTCTCTCTCTCTCTCTCCCCGTCTCTCCCTCCCTCCTTTCCTTCCCCCGCTCCTTTCCATCCCTCTTTGCCTGTCTCCACCTCAACTTTCTCCCTCTGCCTTTCAAATAAAATGTATCTTTAAAAATAACACAAAATATCTAGAGGTCTTCCAATGCTCTCTCTACTTGGTTCTTTCTTAATATTTTGTTGTATTGATTTCTTTGGGAGGTGTCATGTAGCACATCATGCGGCTGTTTGTGTTCTGTGTACCTTAAATAGGCATGATCTGATTTAGGAGAGAGATCTCACTTTTGCTTGCTAATAGCTTCGGGCTTGGTCAAAATTCTAGGCATCAATATTATAGTTAGATAGCTCTTGTTCTTCCTTAAAATATTACTAATATTATCTCTCAGAAATTCTTCGGTCCAGCCCATCCTATGGGAACATTAAAAGAGTAAGTCATTGAATGGGAGGCAGTGTATGTCTCTCCATTATCACTACTCCTTTACCTCAAAGATAAATAAAAATATTTAAAATTATAAATCATCGGCTATCTTTTCTATAACACAAAAAATTGGTAGATGTTCTCTTATTTTTCAACCTGTTGATCTAATCCTCATTCTCTTATTCTCTTCCTAGGATGTGTGCTGTATTTGGTGGAATCTATTGTCTTCGTCATCCAGTGCAGTGCCTTGTAGTGGACAAAGAATCCAGAGAGTAAGGATGATATAAGTAACCTTCCTGTATTTATACTCCAAACACAGGTGAAAAATGCTAAAGTCTATTTAAAAAAAAATGATTCTTCAAAGATCCTCCTTGGTATTAATAACATATCAACCTTGATTAAAAGTAATTTGTGTTTAGGTCCTCCAGAACAAGGAAAGTGAGTTCAGAATATAGAAACTAAATTAATTTCCCTGCTATATGACTATAGCTCCTGATCACCCAAGCTTGGAAGACAAATCATTTCAGCTGCCGGGGGTGGGTGATGAGTGATGTTAGTTTTCCTTGTGGCCTTACCTCCTCTAATTGATTTTCATCGGATGACAACAAAGCCCTCTGTTATTGCATTTTTAAAAATGGAACTCACCTAAAGACTCATCAGATTAATCTCTGCTGATAATGCATGTCATTCTAAGAGAAAAGACTTTAATGAGTTTTCAGGTAGATTGTTGTCATAAACTATGCTGTCCTGTTGTGTGAGGATAAATTTTTACAACAGCATCAGACCTAAAGGCTGGTTTAGTATTAGAACAAGAATATACCTATTTTTGAGAAAGCCGACTACCACCTATAATTTTTAAAATATATTTTAATTATATTCTTCTGGAATTGTTAGCTGCTAAGATCTGTGTTGGTCTGAATTATGTTAAATGAAATATTTTTCTATACTGGATTTTAAATTGACACTGCAGTGGGAAAATGGGTCAGTTTTTAGGATCTATATACATTTTGTGGTTTTCTCATAGTCTAATTTGCAGGAAGTATTAACTTCTCACAGGCTAGTTATGGTGTCATAATTACTGTTTTCAGGTACTGGAGAAAAAGCTCTGGGAATACATGGTATTTAGAATTCTGTAGTGTAAGATAAAGTGGGCACACAATTGAAAAGGTTCGTGGAGCACCTCCAGCATTTTAACAGAAAGGTACTACATAAATGAAATGCAATCATCTACAGTGAAACATTTATCCCTAAAGTCCCAGGATATTCATCTGTTGTTTATGAGGATCTCTCTCAGAGTTCCTGAAGGAATCATCTTTATGACTAGTAGAGATGTTTTTTTCCATATGCTTTCCCTTTTAAGGAAGAGTATGCTCCCATGATGGAAAGCCAGATAATGAAGTCCTTGTTTCGTGTTTATTTGCTTATTATTCATTCACCCCCACAGTGACATGAAGAATTTTGCATGGCTTATGTTTTGGCTATGCGAGGACAGTAATAGCATTTGTTGCTCTGAAAGCTGTGCACTATGCTTAGCTTCTTTTGACTTAGTTTATGTGATGTGCCCCGAACAGAGGAATTCTTCTTTATAATTTGCAGCAAATTGAAGCCACAACAGATAGCTTAGGTCTAGAAATGCCTGAAGATCTAAAAAGAACTCTAAATAGATTATTTCCAAACATAATGCGCCTAAGATTTGGCAAGTCAGCTCCAAAAGCTGTAGATTTCTGTGCCTGATAGCTAGAGTGAAACTGAGTAATAATGCTTCCATTGAAGCCAGGGAATTTGGGGGGGGGGGGTTGTGTGTAAGATCTATTTATTTAAAAAACAGAATGATACAGAAAAAACTAGGTAGGAGAAAGAGATCTTGCATGTGCTGGTTCAATTCCTACATGACCTCAATGCCAAGGCTAGGCCAGGCTAGAACCAGGAGCCTATAATTTCATCTGTGTCTCCCTTGTAGGTGGCATGGTGTAAGTATCTGGGCCATTCTCTAGTACCTTTTATGATGTGTTAGCAGGGAGATGGAAGCAAAGAAGCCAGAGTTTGGACCTGTACCCTGGTATGGGATGTCAGTATTGCTGGTACCAGGTTAACTCAATGTGCTACAGTGCCGACCCCAAGAAAATGTACAGTTCAAGAAATGCGGGGTCTCCCCCACAGATTCCTCTAGTAACCCTGTTGCCGGAGGAGATGAGCCTACTGACCACCACCCAGCCTCCCAGAAAGCCGTTTTGACTGGATATACTTTATTAAAATTATTTTTTTTTGCTTTTAATAAAGTATATCCAGTCAAAACGGCTTTCTGAATCAATATCTAAAGCTAGCACTGAGTGAAATTGGTTCAGATTAATGTGCATTTTTCAAAAGCTGCTTTGTTTTTGAAAATGAAGTAAGAAATACTAGTGATGGTTGAAATTTCATCAGTATAGGGCCCGGCCGTATAGCCTAGAGGCTAAAGTCCTCGCCTTGAACGCGCTGGGATCCCATAAGGGTGCTGGTTCTAATCCCGGCAGCTCCACTTTCCATCCAGCTCCCTGCTTGTGGCCTGGGAAGGCAGTCGAGGATGGCCCAGCTTTGGGACCCTGCACCCGTGTGGGTCGTCACAGCACCGGCCATTGCGCTCACTTGGGTGGAAGATCTTCCTCTCTGTCTCTCTTCCTCTCTGTATATCTGACTTTCCAATAAATAAATCTTTAAAAAAAAAAAAAAGAAAGAAAGAAATTTTGGGGGGAAAATTTGATCCTGTAATTGGGCATACCCTAACATATTTCTGCTTGTGGAGACTGTTTATTCTAATTATCCTTAAAATACCTTTACATTTTTACTTTTGCTGTTTTTGTCCTATTTTTTAAAGAACACTTGGCATCCTTTTTCCTCTTTAGAACAGTTAGGACTGCTCAGGGTTCAGCTAGGAGTTCTAACTCTATTTCTTGATGTGACAGTGTACATCAAGACAGTCGTCAGGCTTCCTTGTTTGATGTGATTGCGTGGAAAATTCTCTCTAATAAAAGACAGTGTTTAAGACAATTTCCTAGCACCAATAATTTTGACTTGAATGAATGAATGATGATTAAAGACTGATTACAACCTTTCTTCATGTTTCTTTTCACCTTCCATTTAGGAAAATGATTAGAGCTTAAATGCATTTTATGTGGTGATTGCATATCAAAGTACTATAGGAACTTCGAGAAAAGAACCAGGACTTTGAGCAGGCATGTGATATCGTGGTATATGCAATATGTAGCGAAATGTGTACCTATTTTCAGCTAGATAATGTTCTTCTTTAATTCTCTATTCCTGAGATCCACATTGCATATTCTCCTTTCACTGTTGCTCTGTTTGCCTAATTCAAATGGATGCAGATATGTATATCTGTTTGTTTTTTTTTCGGTACCTTCTCACTAAATTCTAATACTGCACTGCTGTTAACTGTGGAAACACTGCATGCTCTTTTCTTAGCAGCTATGCTGACCCAGTAAAACTCCTGTTAAATTAGATTTCGTCTTAGTATTTTTAGTAATGTGGTGTTTGACCTTAAGGTTGGGTAGGGATAATCTCAGGCCAGATATCTCTGTATACAATAGTATTAATGTAGTTACTTTGGCTACTGTTCCATGTGTACTTCAGCTGTCCCACTTAATAGATTTTCGTGCTATGACTGTTGTCTTGGAGCTTAGTATTTTCTTGTGTCAGGAGACCAGGTGTAGAGTAGCTGACTCTTCATATATTTGCCATTGCTGATCTTCTGCTTTTCCTATGTACCATTTGCTAAATAGCAGTGATTATATTCTGGATATTTAGCCAATGCCAATTCTGATACGTAATCTGGGTAAAGATTTATAAAATATGGACCATGCTCTTATGTGCAATGAGAGTACGTTAGAACATGCAAGCCGCTAAGGCCAATGGACTCGGTTTGGATCCTGTCTTTACTGCTTACTAGCTGTGTTAATTTGAGCCTATAGTTTTTCTTTGTGCCCCAGTTTTGTTATGTAGAAAGTACGGTAATTAACATCACCTACTTCATAATGTTATTTGGAGTATTAACTAAATATTTAAAGAAATAAAATCATTTGTTGCACACAGCATGAGTTCAACACAAGAGTTAGCTAGTTGCAATCATTAAAGCATTTAGAAAACTTCAATCTCCAGTAGACAGAGACCTATTCTGAAGACCCTTATTAATGAATTTGGTCTGCCATCAGTGGTAGTTTTAAACAAGATTAGAATTGTTACTTTTCAATTAGTAATTCTGGCAGTGATTTGAAAGAATCATTATGAGGCTAAGAAATTCTTTACTTCAAATCAGATATTCTGTGTCTTTTTCAGTCCCTTATGTCGTCCACTTTATCATCCACCCATCCATTAACCCAGTGATGCAACAAGTATAGTTTTTTTCTTCTTCTTTTTTAAAGATTTATTTTTCATTTTCTTTATTGGAAAGGCAGATATACAGAGAGGAGAGACAGAGAGGAAGATCTTCCGTCCGATGATTCAGTCCCCAAGTGAGCGCAACGGCCAATGCTATGCTGGTCCAAAGCCAGGAGCTTCTTCCAGGTCTCCCACACGGGTGCAGGGTCCCAAAGCTTTGGGCTGTCCTCGACTGCTTTCCCAGGCCACAAGCAGGGAGCTGGATGGGAAGCGGGGCTGCTGGGATTAGAACCGGTGCCCATATGGGATCCCGGGCATGCAAGGCGAGGACCTTTAACCACTTGCGCCACTGCGCTGGGTCCCAAATATAGTTTTTTTCTGTGTGAGTCCCTGAAGATACAGCAAGAGAACAAGACTTGTTCTCATGGAGCTTATATATACAACATTTCAGAACAAATAGGATAATTCTATAATGAGCTGTTCAAAATGCAGATCCCTTTTCTCTCCATCCTGTCTTACTATGTAACAGGCCACAGTGGCTTTATATCACTGTAGAGCAAAGCCTTACAACGCTTGTACACAACATGTGAGGCTCTGCAGTTGGACCTCTTCTTACTTTTCAACATCTTCCCCCATTTTATCATTAGATAATATTGAACTGTTCTTGGACATCTGTACATGCTCCTCTCTTATTTGCCTTTGTCTCCCTGAAAATGCTGTTTTTTCTGCAACAGATGTTCTTGCTTGTTTAGGGTATTTGATCCTCATTTAAAAATTGCTATTTAAAAGACTTAATTAATACATAATAGTCGAACATTTCCATAGGCTACAATATAATATTTCATCTCATACTCATAGCATATACTGATGTAGCCAGGCAACTTGTGTTTCATTTCCTTATGCTTTATTTATTTTTGAATCTTTTTGCTCCTTTGTTTAGCATGTATACATTATTGTGAACTATAGGTAGTATACTTTAGAACATGTTACTTCTCTCTAGCTTTGTTTTATACCCTTCATCCAGCCTCTCCAATGTCTCAACCTTTGGTAATCACTATTCTGAGTGCAGATTGACAGTATTGTTTTAAGCCTTCCTCATATAAGTCTATGCAGTATTTGTCCTTGGATCATTTAGAAGCAGTGAGTGTGTCACTTCCTCCGCAGAGCTGTACCTGATACTCCAGTTCTCCACTCTAACCTACTAGGTGCCTCTGCTTCCTACTGTGTAATACCCTCCCCTTGCCTCTTATCATTAGATTTCAAATTTCACATTCTTTTACACCTGCCTGTATCGGATTCTTCAAAATACCAGTAGTTCTTTTAGGGCAATACATTTTATCTTGACCATTAGAGCAGTGCTTGACAAGTGGTTGTTGTTCCATAGTGAACTGTTGACTTGCTAGCAGGCTATATTGTCTTATTACATATGATAAGTGTTGAGGGCAGTTTCTGTGGAGATGGGGAAAAGAGACTGATTCCGAGAAATACTTTAAAAGCAGAATCAATGCATGATAGTGGATTAGCCATGAAAAGACAAATTTCAGGCATGGATGCTGTAACTCCTGGTTATGCCATCATCAGAAATAGAAATTCCAGGGAGGGAAGCAAATGAAGAATTATATAGGCAAATATGTGTTAATGCATGGGAGTTTTTGAAAGGGCTTTGTTAATAATCATGAAATAATCACTTGAAATTTAGTAAGAGTAGATGACAAGTGCCCCAACATATATACAAATAAATGTAATTATGGGTGGTGATGAATGTGTTAATTTGACTGATAATCATTAAAGAGAATAATTACATAGTATGTACCTATAGCATGTTGTACTTCATATATATATGCATATATATATTTTTTTCTTTGATACTAGATATTTTGTAAAAGAAGTATTGGAATCTGTGGAGAAATGTAAAGATTAATCACAAAGCTTATGGAAAAATCAAGATTCTTTTGGTGCAACAACTTTTTTAGTTCTTGTCATAGTGTTTGTCATAATTTTCCTTTTTCCAGCCTTTTTGCATGTAATAGTTAAGAGTGTAGATTAGACCCTGCCAGAGGTCAGAGTAGAAAAACAGATTTGGAGTTACCTACCTATTAATGGTGTTTGAAATTATTGAATAGAGTTTAACACAAGAAAAAAGCAGAGGTGGCATTTTAGTTAGTGTGTTTGTGAAAGCATGGAAAGGCAAAATGAATAGGGAGAATTTTGTTTCCTTTGGTCATTGATAATCTTCTAATTTCTTATTTTTTTCTGTTTTAATTGTGAACATGTGGCTTCTGCTTTTTTAACCCAGACAGTTAGTATTTTAACTGTATTTTAGGGGTTAGACAGCTGTTTTTTTTTTTTTTTTCTCTTCTAGACCAGATTCCAGATACTGACTTTTATTTTGCTAAGTGTTCTGTTCTTTGTTGTCATTTTTCTGTTTATGCCCTCATGTCATTGAACCAAGAACTGAATAACTATTGCGATTCGTTGATTTAGAAAGCTTAGTTCTCGCAATGTTCTGTCTGGCTTCAGTGATTCTTATGATCAGCTTGATCATTTCGTCCCTGTACACAGGAACGCCTATCATGTTCTTCTTCATTTCAGTATTTATGAGGCTCAGCAAGGCCCTCAGCTAAATCCTCAATACAGTTAATCTTTAATGGCTTCCTAAGGTTTATATGGGGAAGGGCAGGACGATGTTTTAATATCTGTGGCCGCACTGTTTCATTTTGCTGTTTTCCATTACTTGAATGTCATCTAATATTTATATTAATCTTTATAGTATAAAGACCAAATTTGGTCTCAAATCAATATTCCTTTCTTTATTGTTCTCCCAATTAGACTGAGTATATAACAGTAAGTCAAGTATATGAGGGGTAAAACGAATCTTACCACGTGCTTAAGCATGTCTTAGCTGGACCAGCTTTGCTTAGGTCTAGAGACTTGGCACTTCAGAGCACTAAGTGCAAGTGAGGCTATCATGTGAGTCATGTTGTTGCCATCTACCCGACTGACACTGGGCATATGAGACCATCATGCCCTTTTCTGCAGAAATAATGTATTCTCTGTACCAGTAGCCTTTACCTTATACTACCAAGTGAAAACAGAGGCTTCAACGGTAATATGCTTGGTCGTTTCCTGGGAATTGGGAGCTTATCAGAATCTCCAGGGGTACTTATAATTTGAAAAAGTCCCCCAGGTGTGATTCTGATTTGCTTCCTTTTCCTCCTCCTCCTCATTTGAGAATCACTGTTTCATCAAGCTGTAGCGTAAATAGAAATACTTGCTGGTAACTTGTCCTTGCATAGTTGAGCTCCTTAATTGCCAAAGCTCTATGCTTTAACAAAACAAAAAGACAACTTTTGACACTTGCTTGAGAGAAACTATGTGAACATGCAGATTACTGTCCTCTATGTTGTTCTTAGAGTGGCTAGAGCTGAGCCTGGTTGAAACTGGAAATGCAAGGCAAGACTCACACATGGTTGAGATAAACCCAATTTACTTTAGCCTTTATCTATTTCCCCCAGAGCTGCCTTAGTTGGGAATCAGGAGGTAGAGCTGGGCAAGTAGCCCAGGCACTGTGATAGAGGATAGGGAGTTTTAACTGGACTTTAATTGATCCCTAGGACTTCTTTCTAATACCAGAACTTCTGAAACCAAGACCTATCTGACACCAAATTTGTAGTTATCACTAAAACATCCCTATTAGTGTTTGAAATCCTGCACAGCAAGGAGATCTCCACACCTTGAGGGTAAGAATTAAATATGTGATGTATTTAAATTGGAAGTCTTTAAAGAAACATTCAGAGCAAGATCTACACTATATACCATAAATTTTGTTCTAATATTTATGATGAAAATGTTTACATTTACAAAGTTTAAACACAACCCTCCATCAAGATATGGAACTTTTTTTAATGCCCACATTATTCCATCTTGTCTTTGTGTAGTTGTAGAATTACAAGTCAGAACAAGGCTTGTCAGTACTTACAGGAAAAATAGGAGTCAATATTGAGTGTCAGAGCAACAGTTTTCTTAATTGCTCTGTACTATATTGTGCTTTAAATTGTACATGAATGTTTATAAACAAGAGACTGGAGGAATAGCTTATCTTTTTCAATTTTAAGTCATTTTAGAAAACAAGGATATAAATATTATTTTAGAATTCCAGAAAGGAAGAGCTCTAGATGTGATGAATTATAAGAAAACATGGATAGAAACAGAAATGAAAGAAGTTGCAGATGAGAAAAATCATGTAAAATTTAAAATGTTAACCATATATTAAAATATGGCTAGTTTTTAAAAATACATATTGTGTTCATAGATCATTGCTAGACATCATGGTCTATCCTGACAGCAATAATATACCATTTGTTAAAAAACACCAGCATATATTATAATCTACCTTTAAAAAAACAGCGATTTCTTCTCTGTTGCTTATTACTCATTTTTCATACTCTTATACCTGGTAAATCTCATGTATTTGGCTTATTTTTAGAACCATTGAACATATTTTAATTTAGACCAATATATTTTTAAAATAATGTGAATTCCAAATTACTTGTTTTATGAGAAGCAAGTGTATTTCTACTAAAGTAACTGGTCCCAAAAGGAGAAGCAGTGACAAAAGGAAATCGATATTTCCATAATAAAAAGCTGTGGCAAACACAGTCATTTGCATATAGTCCTGAAATATTGCATACTGTCTTTGTCGGTGCTAGTAAGTCCATTTCAAGGATGTCGCCCTTAGTCCATTAGTTTGGATAATGAGCCCTATAAAGTACATTTATAACTTGTGGCATTGCAAGGAGATGGATTCTAATTTTCATCCTTTTATCTAGACACATTGAAAGAAGGTCAATGGAGGGTTCTATATGATTCATTGTCCCAACACATATCAGATGACAGAGACCTGATAATGTCCGTTCATAAGTGTTTTCCTTATTTGGAAACAGCACTTGAAAGAAATATTTCTAAGATCATCCTTTGAAGTAAAGTGGAAACAGATATTAAAAGAAGCTCTATCTTTTTTTTTTTTTTCTGTTTGAAACATTATCAAGCGTGTGACCAGATAGCTATTCTTGAACAAAAGAGAAAGCAACGCTTAACAGAAAAATAAAAACCCTTTAGTGGCTTTTCCAGGCTGTGAATGATATAACAAGATACTTAATCAACTTTTCTCTCTCTTTTTTCTGCACTGCTAAAGGAAAAAGAAAGTGAGCACATGCGAACTTTTTTGCTTAAACAAAAGAAAAGCTTCCAAACATTAAGAAAACTCATAGTTATTCTGTAATACTTGTTTAAACTTTACTCTTAATTAATGAATTCAAAGTAAGTTTTTGTTGTTTCACATGCATTTCATAGCTTTTAATAATAAATGGATATTTTGTAATTCAGTGCCAGTTTGATATCAGAAAATTTAGAATTATATTACAACTTTAAAATTTTGTCTTTACATTCCAAATGGTTAACTGATTGTGTTTATATTCTAAGTTATTTATTGAGGTGGATGTTTTTGCTATGCTTGTCTTCTTTGTAGATGTAAAGCAGTCATTGATCAATTTGGTCAGAGAATAAACTGTAAGCATTTCCTGGTGGAAGACAGTTACCTTTCTGAGAGCATTTGCTCACGTGTACAATACAGGTAAGATGCCCCTCCATTTACTAGCCAAAGGATGGTAGAACTAAGGAAAATTTCACTGTGGCAGTTTTTGTATGTTTCTGTTCTTTGAATATCATGCAAATATATGCCAAAGCAGATATTTTCATTATCTTACCACTGTTTGCTTACAGGGCCGGGGTTTCTGGGGAGCCTAGTATAATTTCAGCTTCCCTGCTTCAGCTGGGGTTTGTCTCTGGGTAATGCATCCTTCTTTCATGAGCCAAAAAAAGATTAAAGCAAGATTTGACTTGGGTTGGGGAGGTGACACTTTTATCCTCATTTAAATCTTGGACACGTGCCTTCTGGTGGTTTTATAACTATAAGTGAAACTTATCCATGAGTCTGAATCATTGCTTTACTATTTGTGCATTACAGGCAGATCTCCCGGGCAGTCCTGATTACAGATAGATCTGTACTAAAAACAGATTCAGATCAACAGGTAAATTCAGTCCTTTTTTCTTAAAATAGAAGGTTTTGTATATTAAGGTAGACAAAATGTTTTGATAGTGCTGTCACAATAATAATATGATTACTGTAGTCAAGAAGATGATATCCATCTCTTCAAATATTTTTTTTTTCTGAGAACACTTAACCCTTTAAGTCTGAAGTTTTCCATGAATATAGAAACAACATGGTATTTATTGCAGTTAAATGTTTTTATTGCTCAATTTTTAATAGGTATTATGCATAGGACAATGGGACATAATGGGCTAAGATCTACTCTGTTAATCACTTTTAATCATATGTTATGGTATTAACTATAATCCTCTTTTTATACATTAGATCTCTGAATTTAAAGTTTGTATATTTGAAAATCTCCCATTTCATCCAAGCTCCAGTCCCTGACAACTACCATTTTCTGTGATCTGCTTTAGTGGACTTGACTTTTCTGATTCTACATATGAGTTTATGTGGTAGTTTTCTGTGTCTGTCTGGTTCCTGGGTTTATCTGTGTTGTCATAAATGAAGAGATTTTTTTATATTTTAAAACTGATTATTCCACATGAACATTTTTGAGACATTGATGTACATGCACACATGCACACAAATAATTTTCTTTACATACTCATCTATTAGTGAGCACTCACCTTGTTTCCAAATCTTGTCTACAGTTAGTATTTTATTAAATGAACAAGGAAATGTATGTGTCTGTTTTGAGATACTGATTTCATTTTCTTTGGGTGTATACCCAAAAGCAGAATTTCTGGAGCAAATGGCAGTTCTCCTTTTGCCTTTTTTGGTAGAAATTCTATACTGTTTTCTATAATTGCTATACCAGTTTTCTAGTCCACCAACAGTGTACAAGGATTTCTTTTATGCCACAGACTCATTACCACTTGCTATCTGTTACCTATTTTGTGCGATAAACATCCAAAAAGTGTAAGATAATATCTGATCGAGTCCTGTGCTTTTTTTGTAATATTGTTAATCTACTCTTCATGTTGATGTCTGTATATCAATATTGAATGATAGAACTTGTTAAGCCATAAGAGTAATACTTTCTGTTGCATTTTTAAAAAAATTCTTAATTGCAATAATGAAAATGCTTTCATATCTTAAGGAGTTCCATCCAGTAGGACAATAACATCTCACAACAAATTTATTCTAAAAAAATTAAACTTATTCCTAGTTTTTCAAAGCTATTGAAGGAAGAAAAAGATAGTCCCCACAGAATACCTTTGAAATCTTGGAGAAAAAAGCCACCATAAGTAGCCATTCCGACAGTAATCCTGCAAAGCCTATTCTTAGGCCTGGCTGGAATGAATTTCAAAGTATGTTTTCATACTGATATTTGCTCACCAATATTTTTTATTTTAGTGTCATATTTCTCCTTCTTATCCCCAATTCCAGAAAATTGTCTTCATGTCTCTATTTTCCTTAGTCTGACCACCTAAAGTCTAGGAATATACATACCCCTTTTTTATTTTTACCATATTTTATAAAGTCAACTTACTAAATAGATGTGACTGTCCAGATCTATATGCTAGTAAAAATATTCTCTTCAACTGTGTATTTTGGTAGCTTTCTATTGAATAAATAAAACATTTGTGGGAATAAAATCAATTGAAGACTTAATATTCTTTTTGGTAATAAACACTATATACCAAAAGAAAAAAAAAAACCTCAGATATTTGTTATATGTATAAGAACCAATACAGGTTATCCTTGACATGGTGGAGTAATATCTCAGGAAAGCCACTGTAGGTTGAAAAATCATGAATAAAATTTCATTATTTACTACACCTGACCTACAAAACAACTCTGTAGCAACACATGATTTTCTTAGGGCTTTGGACGTTTCACCCTGTGGTTATAGGACTAATTAATTGAAGGCTGTGTTTTTTTGCCACCAACTTGCTTTGCAAGATAGTGTTATACTGCATATCATTATCCTGGGGAAAGATCAAAACTAAAAATGAAATTCTGTGGATATGTCTTCTTTTACACCATTATTAAGTTGAAAAATATTGAGATAGCAACTATTTTCTTTCCTTTAATCATTCACCACAGAATGGATTTTATCTGCCAGACAGTGAAGGTGCTGGGTTCTGAAGAATTGGTGTTGAACCATAATGACATCTCTGCCCACAAGTAACTTGCAATCTGAAAGATATGGATAGAGACACTTTAACAAGAACTGTACTGAAATATGATAATTGTTTGCATTGTGCAGTATAGTAGCTGTCCTATTGCTTATTGTATTATACCATATCTACTGGTTAATATTTCTGTACCTCCCAGTAAGCCATGAGCATTGTGAAGTGGGTCAGAGTGAAAAATCTAAGTTGTGAAGAATATGAAAATGGAATGGTCCCCTAAGAGACATGTATAAATTAAGAGGGTTTTTCTGCACTTTATAAAATTAGTATATAATTCAGCTGTTGGGATGATGGATGGACCAAGGTGCAAGCAAAGTCCCAGGAGGATGAGATTCAGAGAACAGGCAAAAGCCTTGCCCTTGGTTAGAATGTGAGACATTTGAAACCAGAGAGCATTTGCAGATTTTCCAGACCCAGTTTCATAGATTTCCTTTTATTTTTTAAATTACAAGTCGGAGATCACCTGCTGAGAATAGAGGTGTACAAATGAGAACAACTCAAAGTTCAATGAAATTTATAAATTAATTACTAAATGGTTGGAAAGTTATCTATCTTACGATCATATTGCTGGGCAAGGTTAACGGTCCAGCTTAGTGTGAAGGTCATTGTACTACAGTAGCCATGATCTCCGTCCTAACTCTTTCACTCTATTATCCCCACTTACAATTACTTTCCCTCCTTTTCTTTTCAGTTTATCATTTCCCTTTTGTGCTCTTTCTTTTTCTTACATAGACCTCATGCATGATACTGCAAATTGCCTTTCCGCCAGTCCCTCTATTCCCATAAAACCAAGTCCTTACACCCACAGAGGCAACCCAGTCACCTTGATCAGACCATAGTCTGCATCTATGTCAATGATGGCTGCAAGGGAAAACCACCACACTACCAGAGAATTGCTTGCTATAAAGTCCTGGGTACAACCTCATTTGACTCCTCATCACTTAGCACCTATCAGCTCTTCTGCTATCTCATTCAGCTTTCTCTTTTTGCTCAGTACCTAGTCCAAGTCTTCACTGTTTTACCCACTCTTCTCATTCCTGGCCCCTCTCCCCATCCATTTTTTCCTGAAAAAAATGTAGGACCAGCCACCACGCACAGTGAGCCCTAACTTCCTGCTTTGCCACCAACAATTTATGTTCACCAGCCCAAGGAAAATTGAGGGGGCTCTCTCCACTTTGTCTAAAGCCAGCCCCTCTCATAAGTATGTTTGGCAGACACACTCTTTATTACCTACTTGCTTTCCTGATCATTAGCATCTTACAGGATCTCAAATGTCCCTGTAACTTTATATATGCAATCTAGCATTATATGCAAAAACACAAATTAAACTAAAAAATTCTCCTGGATTCTGTTTCCATCCCCAGCTAAGCATCTAATTTCTTCTGTCCTTTTATTAATGTTACGAAGATAGTATCTATACTTAATGCCTCCAACTCCTTCCCTGTCATTCATTTCTAAACCACACCAACCCTACTGCTACCTTCACATTCATACAATTGCTCGCGTTAACCTCATTAATAACAAATTGACTGTAGTCATGCCCAAAGGCAATTTAAAATAATATTAATTATTATTATTGTGTTCCTGTCACCAGAGCTTCGTGGTACATTTGACAATGACTTTATTTCCTTTCTTTTGAAACTGTACTTTTTTGGCTTCCATGACTCTATGCTTTCCTGATGCCCCTCATGATTCTGCTTGCTTTTTCTTTGCTTGTTTTGTGCGCTCTTCTTCCTAGTGTTTGATTTTGTGTGTTAGAAGTCCCCAGGTTTCTCACTTGAGCTCACAGTATGTCTTATTCTGTATACATTTACCTAATGTTTTCTTGTACTTTTACCTTTTGCATAAATCTTTTTGACATAAATCTCCTACACGTGTCTGGGTCACCTGTCAAACTTGCTGTTGATCGTGTATCAAATTGAACTCTTCCTTCACAAAACATCTCTTTACTCAGCATTCCCTACCTCCATGACCAGGGGCTGATCGCCTTTTAACAACTTCTTTATCCCTCTGTGACTTCTCATGAGTCTTCAGTTCCTGAAAGTTGCTTCATTCTGCTTTTTCTCTTAGTCCTTATCCTTGCTATTCCATCTATGGGACTCATCCTTTCTGCCTTATAAGTGGTTGCCTTGCCCCCCTACCAAATTAACCTATTCACCCAGCCATCAGACTGATTCTTTTTTGTACATCCAACCTGCCTTTGTTTCTTATGAGATTTATTTTTATTTATTCTCTCTTATCCTTACTCTCTCAAGTTTTAAAGCATTGATAGAATGATGAGACCTAGAGAATCAAAGAATAAGTGAAAGTCCAGATAAAGGTAATAGAATTGGTACTAGAGGTTTCAGGCAATTTTTTAAATGAATTTTATAATCTCAGTGAGGTCTCGGACGGTTACCTTCTTAGATTTCAGATGAGTCAGGAAATCTTATAGGAGGTTACTGATTGTGTCTTGTTAAAAATTGATAGCTATAGAAAAATGTTCTAAATATTGGTATAAAATTATGGTCATCTATTCAGTCCTAATTATTTAATCATTCTAAAACATTCAGTGTTTTGGTAGTATCATTCTTTTTAATGTTAAGCTGCAACATTTTCTCCCATGAACAGTGGTAAAGAGGGTTCAGAGAAAGGTGAAGCTTTTGAGACCTTTTGAGGCCCAACATGGCACATATAGGTAGGGTGGTAGTGATTATAAAATAGTTTATTTTTATAGCTAGCTGTAGGCTTTTCCTCTGTGGGTTATCAGTGTAACATTCCCAAAACCTAGGCATAAGCAAAAGTATAACGGGACCTTTCTGTTTTAGCAAGTATTTTGTATATGAGAGAATATAATTTCTTCATGATGAAGAATAGATTGAGGATTGGTACTAGACATTTAAACTATAGCAATTATTAATCTGAAGGTCATTTAAAACATTTTAAATATAAAGCCATATAGTTTGTTTTTTGTGATTAGGTTAGAAGATTGTACTCAGTTAACAGGATTTAGTAATAATTTTACATTTGATTATGATTTTCAGAATTCATTATCATTAATGGAGTACTTATTAATTTGAAACCATTTGTTTAGGAATGCTTTAGTTTATTTTACTTGTTTCAGTAACTGGGATTAGTACCATCATTAATATTTAGGGCTCTATAAATACTGTTTTTAGCCATTAAGAATTATCACATTGATATAATCTTATTGGATTTCATACAACAGTGTCCATATATTTCAGAGCTAACATCATGATTGCATCGTTTGAAATATTAAGTGAAAGATGCATCGTTTGAAATATTAAGTCAATGATTTAATAAATGTTAAAATATTTGAAATATTTATAACTGAACATAGTCTATAGTGGAAGATTGGATATCAAGATACATGTGTGTTACATGTTTCAAGTTTCCTTTCAAAATTAAATCCTTAAACGACAAAGTTTTTTTTTTTTTTTCACACATCAAAGGATGTTTGAAAAAATTTGCTCCTCTTGGAAGTTAGCACTCTAGTGATAGAAGAATGACAATGAAATCTAACAGCTATGTCTGATATTCTGTTTCTGCTTTTTAGATTTCCATTTTGACAGTACCAGCAGAGGAACCAGGAACTTCTGCTGTTCGGGTCATTGAGTTATGTTCTTCAACGATGACATGCATGAAAGGCACCTGTAAGCAGAGTAGATTCTGGTTATTTATCTTCTGTGTCTATTTAGAGAGTCAAAGGGACAGCTGTTCCATTTTTCAAGGTTGGATTTGCAGAGATTTTCCAATACAGACTTTTACAGTAATTCCTGCATTGTATGGTCATATAGTAAGTCATTCCATACCTTCCCTTGGCTTCAAACATTTCTGTGGCTCTTATCTTTGCAGACACAGTGTTTTACTTCTCTAGTGAAAGAATGTCTATTGCTTTCCAGATCTTATAATTTTTCTTAAGCTTGTTTGAAACTTACTTTCACAATGTTAATTTCTGTACATCAAAGTTTTCTTGCTTTTTACCTTAGTCTATTTAGGCTGCACTAACAAAATACCTTTTATTATGTAATTTCTAAACTATAATAATTTCTCACATTTCTGGAAGTTGGGAAATCCAGGAACATGACACCAGGAGATTCAGCAGCTGAAATAGAGCCCCTCATAGAGTATACTTCCTCTATGTCCTCACGAGACAGGAAAGGGCAAGCGCCTTCAGTCTGGCCTCTTTTATAAAGTCAGCATTTTTATGAACGAATCCTCCCAAAGGCTGCAAGTTCTAATGCTGTTATACAGGGGATTCAATTTCAGCGTATGAGTTGTGAGGGACACAGATTCAGACCCAGGTAATTACCTTTGACTTCTAAATGCTGTTACTGAACTTTTATTTCCCATGTATAGGTTCCTGATTTATTTATTTAGTTTGTGAGACGAGAGTTTAAGACTACTTTGTCCATTCTCTTGCAGTTATCTGTCTGTAGTATCACTGTAGTCATGCCTTCTACAATATATTTCTTTTTTTTTAAATAATAATTGTTTTTACTTTGTCAATCTTTACATAGTTAATTTGGGCAAAAAGGGCCAAGGGCTACAGGAAAGTGGGTAAGACTATTATTTCCATATTGTTTCCTTCATATATCTGAGGTAGAGGGGGATATTGAGGGAGAAACCCCACCCGGTTTCCCACCCACCCCAAGTCCCGCATGTGGGGCATGCTCCGAGATGCTCATTGAAGTGGTTTCAATAGGTCACCAGTTTTGAAATTGCTGCCAATCTTGCCTCTCCAAACACGATGAGGTTGTTGAAAAATCCGTTAATTGACATTGTCCATCATAGCGTCTCTATTTGCCCAGTATTTTGTTGCCAACCTATAGCTGAGGTGCTTAACTTGTTCCATCTTCTGTCCCTTCGTGGTTTGGCTTCTGAGTCTGGCATTTCAATTGGGGAGATCACCAAAGAAACTTCGTCTGAGGTGTTCCCAGGCCAGATACTTGTATGCACCAGCAAGCACAGGGCCCAGCACAGTCCATCACCCGGTCAGCTGGTAGTTGCAATTGCTGGGTTGGTTCTGTTTTCAGCCCCGCCTTCTACTGGAACCAATGGGTGTTGCAGTCCAGCCTGGTTCTGCACAGCACATACTCGGTATTCACCTAAACCAGTGGGAGCTGCATCCTGATGAGAGCGACCCACAATAACCCCTACCAGGCCAACCCCCTACCCTGGTTTGCCAATATGTGTGGCAGACCAGTCCAATCTGTCCCACATCCCCCCTGGCTCTCGTACATGGCAAATGGCATTGAAGCTTGGATCCATCTAACCAGCTCAACAGTCAAGCCTTCACGGCGTGGTTGAATGTCTCTCTGTCTAGCTACCCCAGCCCCTGTCCTGGTTCTCGTGCCCTCCCGTGGGAGTGGTAACCCAAGAGGGGGGAACCACTATTTCCCTCCCAGGTCTCTCACTCCCGGATTGTGCACTTTCCAGGTGGTTCTGCAGTTTAACTTGACAGGATTAGCCCCCAGTGCCAGTTTCTGCCAGCTGATGCTACGGCTATGCCCAAACAGCCCTCTTCCATTCTAATTGTAGGTTGCACCCATAGGAACAATCCACCCATCCTAGCTTTTCCCTGATCTTGTCCACATGAGGCACACAGGTGTTGTAGCCCTGCTTAGTCTGGTCTGCCCCCATCCCAGTTCATGCTCTCCAGTGGGAGTAGCTGTCCAGCAGGGGAACCACCCCTTATTCCCCCGCTGGCTCTGTCCCCTCCCTTCCTGTTTCTCACGTGTTTTGGATGGGCACTGCCGTCACATCCGGCACAGTCAACCTCATCCTGGCATTCTGTAGCGTGGACTGGTTTTTATCGCAACCAAACCTGGCCCGACCCTTACTCTGTTCTGGTGCTCGGATTTGCCAGTGATGACGTTAACTGATTAGCCTGGTCTGCCCCCAATCCATGCCTAATGTATGCCAGTGGGAAAGTTCTTGTGGCCTGCTCTGGGCTGTTTCCATTCATGCTTCTTGTGCTTACCCGTGGGGTGTGTGTCCTGCGAGAGGAGTTGCCCAGGCTCCTCCATCAGAACCTCTCCCAGTGCCGGATTTTGTGCATGCCAGTGGGTCCATGAGCCAGCCCTAGCCCAGTTCCTGACTAGCTTTCGACCCAAGGTGGTTCTTGTTGTTGGATATTTCAGCCCAGCCATGGCTCGTCCAGTCAATTCCCACATACGGCTCACATGGTTCAGTAGGGGTTGCGACCTAGCCTAGTCCGTCCCACATCTATCCTGGTCCTCCAGGAGCACCAGACAGTGCTGGGGTCTGGTCCAGCCTGGTACGTCCAGTCCCGGTCCACACTTGTGCCAAGGGGGATTTCACTGTTACCTGATCAGAACGCAGCCCCCATTCCAGCCCATGTGCTCCTTGGTGGTAGCCTTAATCCAGTTAGTGTGTCTACTGGACAAGACCTGTGCCAAAGCTTTAGCATGCACTGGTATTTGGTGGTCAGCATTGCTAAGTGGTAACACATTCTTTAAAGGAAGAGTAACTGTCATTGGGAAACTTTAGGATGTATTCACCTCGCAGAAACACATCGGGTTCAACGTGGAGCCACATAAGCAGCAATTCAAACCACCAAAATCCCAGAGCTCCCCTGCCGGGCGGCCAGCAAACAAAGCCTGACACCAAATGGCGCCCTGACTGCCCAAGCCCGGTTCACCATGTGCCCATGATGGCGGGCGTATGGGATCCGGGCATGTATAGGTTCCTGATTTATTTATTTAGTTTGTGAGACGAGAGTTTAAGACTACTTTGTCCATTCTCTTGCAGTTATCTGTCTGTAGTATCACTGTAGTCATGCCTTCTACAATATATTCCTTTTTAAAGAAAAATTATTTTTATTGGAAAGTCAGATAAACGGGAAGAGAGACAGAGAAGGAGATCCTTTTTCATTTTTGACACAGTTTCATAGGCTCTGGGATTTCCCCAACCCCTCCTCAACCCCTCCTCCCATATTGAACTCCTCCATATTGTTACAGTAGTACAATTCATAACCAATCATGATTCCTTCATTGCGGGCATGGGCCATGTAGAGAGTCCAGCATCTTATTGTCTAGAAAAATTCAACAGTATCATTGGGAGACCATCCCTGGTCTGAAAGTAGAGCTGGCAAAATATCATCACCTCCAATGAAAAGCCACTATACAACTCCAACAACAATTAACAACATAATGAAGTTAATTGACATGGTATTGTATGACCAGTATGTTAGAAAATCAGAGAGGATTCAGTGATGCACTTTCCAAGTAGCCACAATGGCCTGAGCTGCGCCAGTCCAAAGCCAGGGGCCTGGAGCTTTGCCCGAGTCTCCCACATTGGGTGCAGGATCCCAAAGGATTGGGCCATCCTTGGATGGTTTCCCAGCCTGCAAACAAGGAGCTGGATGGGAGGTGCAGCCACCAGATTTAGAACTGGCACCTATATGGGATCCCAGTGCATGCAAGGCAAGGACTTTAGTTGCTAGACTAACACGCCAGGCCCTACAATATATTTCTAAAAAATCTGTCAGAAAGCAGGAATCCAAAAGTACATATTATACATTGCTGAAATCTGTACCTAAACTTTGTACTGTAAGTAACTACAAAGCAGAAACTGAGATGTCTGATTTGAAATACTCACAATCTTATTGCTTATCAAATGGAATCATGATTTATAATTGAGTACAATATACAGTTGAAGGCGTTTTGTGGTATACAACTTGACCTTAAGGGATGCCCATTGTAGTTGTGCAAGTAAAACAAGAATAAAGAACTTTTGAACCCATGAAACCCCCAGTTCACTGAGAAAAACAATAAAATAAATTAATAAACAAAAAGCACAGCACAATAAAGCAAGGTAATATAAATTAAGTGCATTCTAATACATGAATAATTTCATGTTTTTAAAAGAATAATATTTTCTGTGAAATTTTTAATGCATTTATGAAAGTGACACCCACTGGCATGCATGAGAGCCAGAATGGAGAGCGGACTGCACTGGGCTAGGCTGCAGCATCCATTGGTGAGTTGGGACTGGGGTCAGGCCAGGCTAGGCCTGGCTACAGCATTTGCTGGCAAGTGCCAAGACTGGGAGCTGGCCATGCCAGGTTGAATTGAAGCACCTGCTACATGCACAAGATCCAGGGATGTCAGTGGACCTGATAAGGAGAGCTTTAAGGACTCCTCTGCTAAGCTATGGCTTCCACAGATGAGTGTGAAAGCCAGAGCTGAACAAAGCTGTAACACCTATTGGCACTCATGAAAGCCAGAATGGGTGTGGGATGGACTGGCTGGGCTTTAACACCCACCAGTGAGAGCCAAAATGGGTGTGTGCTAGTCAGGTTAGGCCACGGTACCCTCTGGTAATTGCTGGGACTAGGTGCAGGCCCTGTCAGACTGGGCCAAAGCACGTAACCTCACACATGAGACTGGGGGATGGGAGCAGGCCTGGTAGGGAAACTTAGAAAAATCCTGTGCTAGGCCACGGCTCATGGTAATGAGCACAAGAGCTGGGGCTGTATTTGCATACATAGGGGCATCTATGGAAATTGATTGCGAAGAATTTATGCCATAAGAGTAGCAGCAGAGACCATTTCTGAATAGTTGTAATACAGATAGCTTTTAGGCTTTTTTGTTTATTAACTTTGAATGTCTACTTTTTCTGTAATTTA